AGCCAGGGAACAATGGGCCGGGAACCACTCACGTCCTGGAGGAACGAGGTCCTCATGCCTCCTTGGCCAGACCCTGACCTGCTGTGCTATTGGCCACTCCGGGCCCACTCCACCGCTGCTGCTCCCTGGGGCCTCGCTGTCTCTTCCCCCACGGATGCTGAGCACGTGGGGATCCACCTAGGCCTCATGCCGTGTGGTCTCGAGCGACCTCTGTGGTCACAGGACCCTGGATTCGATCCTACTGCCCCCCATCAGAGGGGACGTGGGGCTCTGGGGTGGGGCACAGGGTGAGGACACCTGGACTGACTCCCGGGGCAGAGCACGATGCTGCTGCAGACAGGGTTCGGGGGCCGGACGGGCCATGTCTTCCTGCGCCTGCACCCTTGGCCGGGAACGGGCGGTTTCTCCCGCCAAGGAAGCAACGTGCATCCCGCAGGCCCTTCTGCACTTGGGGTTTGGCCCCTCGACATGCTTCACTTAGCCGCTGAGGCAGAAATGCAGTCCTGTGCTGAGCCCTTCCTCCCAGCCTGCTGTGGCCTCGCCTGCTGTGGCCTCGGCGTGGCCGTGAGACAAGCAGGACGTGGCCGCCCTCGGTGGGAGGGGGACAATGGCAGCAGAGCCGGCCCGAACCAGTCACGGCCAGCCACCCCCCAATGCGGGCGCAAGCTGCGGAGACCCCCACCGCCCAGCAGGGCCGGCCTGCACCACCTGACCCCACGCTGCCCCAGACGGGAAAGCTAAGTACATTCGTGTCGGTTCCTAGCACAGAGACCCTGTGGGTGGTCCTTACGTGGCAGTAGCCGACAGATGCCATTCTACTGTGTTCTCCTTGGGTGGCCCTAACCGCACCAGCGAATTGCATCGCCAAGTACATACTGGTGACTGCACGTGTCCGGCTCCCACGTCTCTCTCTCCTCTGAACTCCAGCCCCCCACGCGGCATCTCCGTTTGGGGGTCCTGGGCTCCAAGCTCAGCCCCCGAGCCTGCCCGGGGCTCCCTCTCCTCGGACTGAACCTCCCTCCACGGCCTGTGCTCTCCTCTCCCCTCACCCTTCCCTCCACTTCCACCCCTCTGGGGTTTTTCAAAAGTGGTCTCGTCTTCCGCGGAAGCCCACCCAACTTCCTTAACTACCTCTGTGCTTCAGCTCTCTTGCGAATGTCCTTTCCTCCAAGAAGCCCTCCCTGACCCCTCCTGCCCCTCCCGTCGTGAGTCAGAGCTGCCGTTGTTTTGCACTGTCTCCAGACACATTTCCCCGAGTCTGCGGTCCTGTGCATGGGCGGCTGCGCCGGTGCGAGCCAGTCCTGGCATCAGATATTTGATCCCGCATTTGCCAGTTTGCCTCTCCCCGGCAGCTAGCACGTGCCTGGCATGTCACAGGTGCTTAGAAATGTTGGGCGAATAAGTGAACGACTCCCTGAGGAAGTGTTGCACGTCAGGGCCCACTGGGACTGCTGGCAGACACGCTGTGGAGGAGGCATACAGAAGGACGCCATTGGTCCAATAGCCGTGGTCTATTTCCCAGGAGAGAAGTGTAGCAGCCCCTTTCCGCCGTGTCATCTGGAGGGCGTGGGCAGAATGGGCCCGGTCGGGCATCCCCCTGCCTGGTCAACACCTGCCCTCCTACCCCCTTCCTACCCCCATCTCTCCAAGATCATAAAGGATCCCTCTTGGGCCTTGGGTGAGGACACCTGGCCTGACTCCCAGGGCAGAGCACGATGCTGCTGCAGACAGGGTTCGGGGGCCGGACGGGCCATGTCTTCCTGCGCCTGCACCCTTGGCCGGAACAGGCGGTTTCTCCCGCCAAGGAAGCAACGTGCATCCCGCAGGTCCTTCTGCACTTAGGGTTTGGCCCCTCGACATGCTTCACTTAGCCGCTGAGGCAGAAATGCAGTCCTGTGCTGAGCCCTTCCTCCCAGCCTGCTGTGGCCTCGCCTGCTGTGGCCTCGGCGTGGCCGTGAGACAAGCAGGACGTGGCCGCCCTCGGTGGGAGGGGGACAATGGTAGCAGAGCCGGCCTGAACCAGTCACAACCAGCCCCCCCCAATGCGGGCACAAGCTGCGGAGACCCCCACCGCCCAGCAGGGCCGGCCTGCACCACCTCACCCCACGCTACCCCAGACGGGAAAGCTAAGTACATTCGTGTCGGTTCCTAGCACAGAGACCCAGTGGGTGGTCCTTACATGGCAGTAGCCGACAGATGCCATTCTACTGTGTTCTCCTTGGGTGGCCCTAACCGCACCAGCGAATTGCATCGCCAAGTACATACTGGTGACTGCACGTGTCCGGCTCCCACGTCTCTCTGTCCTCTGAACTCCAGCCCCCCACGCGGCATCTCCGTTTGGGGGTCTTGGGCTCCAAGCTCAGCCCCCGAGCCTGCCCGGGGCTCCCTCTCCTCGGACTGAACCTCCCTCCACGGCCTGTGCTCTCCTCTCCCCTCACCCTTCCCTCCACTTCCACCCCTCTGGGGTTTTTCAAAAGTGGTCTCCTCTTCCGCGGAATCCCACCCAACTTCCTTAACTACATCTCTGCTTCAGCTCTCTTGCGAATGTCCCTTCCTCCGAGAAGCCCTCCCTGACCCCTCCTGCCCCACCCGGCGTGAGTCAGACTTGCCGTTGTTTGGCACTCTCTCCAGACACATTTCCCCGAGTCTGCGGTCCTGTGCATGGGCGGCTGCGCTGGTGCGAGCCTGTCCTGGCATCAGATCTCTGAACCCGCATTTGCCAGTTTGCCTCTCCCCGGCAGCTAGCACATGCCTGGCATGTCACAGGTGCTTAGAAATGTTGGGCGAATATGTGAACGACTCCCTGAGGAAGTGTAGCACGTCAGGGCCCACGGGGACTGGTGGCAGACGCGCTGTGGAGGAGGCATACAGAAGGACGCCATTGGTCCAATAGCCGTGGTCTATTTCTAGCAGAGAAGTGTGGCAGCCCCTTTCCACCGTGTCATCTGGAGGGCGTGGGCAGAATGGGCCCGGTCAGGCATCCCCCTGCCTGGTCAACACCTGCCCTCCTACCCCCTTCCTACCCCCATCTCTCCAAGATCTTCAAGGATCCCTCCTGGGCTACAGCCATGGCCCTGGACGTCACCCCATCAGAGGCCTGGGGTCATCCAACGCGTCTCAACAGGCCGTTGGATGTGCAGACCTGCAGTCTTGAGCGATGTTCCCGGGGTCAAGGGGGACCGCGGGTGGAGCCCTGAGGGGACGGGTGGGTGGACGCTGGCTCTCAGGGCAGGATGGTGTGAGCACAAGAGGCTGTAGGAGGGAGAGAGGCACTGAGCTCTATGGGATGGATGGGGGCCGGGCGTGCCATTGGCCTGCGCAGGAGGGCCCGTCGCCATCTGTTACCATCTGTCGGGAGAATGGTCCCACTGTTTGAGAGCTCCAATATCTCACATATGTCTACGAATTTTTTCATGCTCGGGAAGCTGGACGTATCCTGTCTGCCTGCAGTTGGAAGCAGAATCACAAGGTCAGAGTCCCCAGCTCTGGCCGCCTGGGGCCGTACCCGAGCCCGCGGCCACCGCAGCACCCTCCGAGCTGGCAGGACAGAGAAGCCAGGGTGCTGCCAAGGGAGGCGGCAGAGGCGGGTGATGGGGAGTGTGCTTCTGTCCCCTCTGTGCTCCGAGGCAGGTGGGTGTCCCCGGTGTGGCCTCGAGGTGGGCTCCACACAGGGCCACTTGGGGAGCCCTCCCTGCTCACAGGACCCCTCGGCCGGAGCCTGATGCCCCTCCCGCTGCGCTCCTGGCCACGCCCTCCTCCACGGAGACCCACGGGACCCCTCCGACCTCTCCGATGGGTGTCCTGCAGGCCTCGGTGCCCGGAAGTGGGTTTGTGCCCCCTTCCCCCACCCCTCCCTGGACAGCAGCTCCCCGCCCGCCCTCCCTTCGCCACTCCCCCTGCTCCCCCGATCCTGCCCTCAGCCCGGGGGCGGGTCCCCTGCCTCCATGCAGAGGGTCAGTCCCCCTCCTGACCTGTTGCCCTCTGGGCTCCTCCCGTGCACTGGCCACCCCCATTCAGCCCCGTGGCAGCCACACCAGAGACCTGCCCACCTGGTCCCCCCGTCCAGGCGCCACGCTCCGCCCACCCACCTGGCCACCCCATTTGCTGTGTGTGTCCCGGCCCTGTCCTCCTACCTCC